AATTAGAACGAAGTCAAATTGTCCACTAAATTTAGAAAAAAATTTGATTGGAAATATTTCCGATTAAGATGCTAAGTTAAGACATGTTAGTTATTTTTCTGTTCGTTGGGACGGATTTCAATAACATTTTTATATAACATATAAGTTTTTAAATTAATAACTTATAAAAGTTTTATTTCAATAAAGTAAAGTATATCCAAAAATATATATTAAGTTTTACTTATATATGAATAAAATAAATAAATAATAGTAAATTAAACTACAAAAACTACTATACAATCGACCATTATTCTTGCAGTAAGTTAAAAACAAACTTCATTTTCGTTCAAACGTGCGTAAATATAATCTAAAGAGATAAGTATAATTTTAATCTTAAATAAGCTAGATTAATTTATAGGATTTCTTGTGTTCTATTTAGATTTTTGGTTCCCAACGTTTCAAATGCTTTACAGCAATCATGGTCACTGAAGAGATTAGATTTTAACGTCTCAAGAAATATTATTATTATTATAAGCCTGTTGTGTCCCACTGCAAGGCGAAGGCCTCCCTAATCTTCCTCCACTGCTCCCTAGCGTTCGCCATAATAAGCCAGTCTCTTTGGAAGTAGTCTAGTCTAGTCCAGTCTCAAGAAATAGTTATATTTAAAAAATAATACGTGTCGAATTCAGAACCTCCTCCTTCTTTCGTCGGTTTAAATTATAAAATATTCGCATTAATCTAAGAAAGTATTATAAATTTTAAGCTTTACTGATTAGTAGCTGCAATATAAACATAGCCTTATAATGCAGCTGCGCTAGCTACCAGTTCTGAGCTCCTGCGCATCGATCGACTAACATTTTCTTATTACGATCAACATAATGATTGTTGATGTGGGATTTTGGGTTACACTTTAAATTATTTAAATAATCCGAGACTTACGTATTTTATTATATTTGTAAAAGACGGTGTATGTTTTGTGAAATTATTTTTTAATTTAAATTTTAAACTTGTTAAACATATCACTCTAAACTTAATCGTACGGTAGTATTTTGTTTTTTTATATCTAAACAGATAAATAAAATTGAAGTGTCTGTTTGTAATGTTAAAATAACAAAGTTTTACTAAGTGCATATGAAATTATTTACGATTTTTATGAGAAAAACACAATTTTTAAAATGTTTGTCTATCTGTCTGTCTGTTTGATCCGGATAATCTCCGAAACGGCTGGACTGATTTTGGCGGGACTTTCACTGGAAGACAGCTGATTTTATAAGGAGTAATTCAGGCTACTTTAATTTTAGAAAAAATAGGGTTCCGCTCAAAAATTTAAAAGACGGACAGACTACAGGACGCATCCGAGTGAAGCGAGGGTAAGTCGCTAGTTATATTGTATATTTTCAATAATCGTAATCAAAAAATTCACATTTTTTTTTCATCGAAAGTACTAATAGTAGTTTACGTTAAAATATGCTTTATTTAAACTAATAAAGCAATTTATATCTATATATCTAAACATAGAAAACCTTATTTAATATTTAGCAGCAATAGGATTAATGTTTTGTTTCCTTTGTCAAATCAAATATTAGTCTCGTGAGGAGAATTCGAATCTAAAACCGTTTGTAAGCAATCCTAGTATCTACTCAGTAGGACATATACTGAACTTCCACAATAACTAAATACCTAACAAATAGGTCATTTAATATTGTTTAAAATATATACCTACAGCATTATATATAGCATATAGTGTTGTGAACATCAACTCCTCGACGTCTTAATTAATTGCTAAGTTACGTGACTTTGTACGCGTACACGTTTTATAATACATATAAGGTAATTACCTACATCAAATATTTGATTATATTTTATCAAAATCAAAGATTTTAAAAAAGGTAAGACTTATTTACTAGATCAATAAACTATGGTAAAATATTTTTAATATTTTTTATGAAGTTTTAATCATACCTAATTCGAGTATCAAACAACATAAGATATTGTATATTATTTTGCTATATTATACCATTTATTTATTTACCATTCTGTGTTATTGGTAAAGTAAATTATGCTAAATTGGCACTCCTCAAAGCCATAAAACAATGAATTTAATGGAAAATTGAAAATGCCAACCAAACGTAAAACATAAAGGCATTCTAAATCACCAATCAAAACATTATTAAACACTTCTATAACATAAAATACTGAAATAAGTCCCTTGATTCATAATACCTATGTATATTTTTAAATATAAACTACCTACAAGTATATATTTGAGACGTAATCTTAGATCTAATATCTAGTCAACAGATAAATCAGCACTTAGAAACCTACATTTAGTATTTGAATGCATAACCTGTACCCGACCTATACCTAGGTATACTGTGGTAGAGTTAAATACTCCGCAAAAGGTATAACGTGCAACGCGATTCTAAATTTAAATATCAACGTGCGAGAGAGATGGAAAGTGTACTCGTGCGCATCGTTATCGAGCCATTTGTACTGGAAGAGATATTTTTTTAATTTTTATTTTGATATAATATGTATGTTTGATGTATTCATTATACTTAAAATCACAGGTTTGATTCTTAAAGAAAACACGCAAATTGACAAAGAAAATTAACTGTTTAGTAGGCCAATTCCATTTTTATTATCAAACTGCATACTATTATAAATGCAAAAATTTGTAAGTGTGTGTCTGTTAGTTCCTTTTTATGCTGAAACCGCTGGACTGATTTGAATGTTTAGTACACAGATATGACTATCAACAAAAAAATGTTAACTAGCAACATACTCTCGCCATAGTCAATACAAAAATATAATTTTGATCGATTTAAAATCAAATGAAACTTTAACCAGGTTAAAAACCTACAATAATAACAAAACAATTTAACCAAACCATCCAGATAACTATACATCTGTGACAAACAGACTTGTCTCACCTCCCGCCCCGAGCCCCTCCCCTCTACGCTACCCGCGTGCGTAAATGCGACCTCTCAGTTGAACTCAACTACGACGCAGCAAGTCTTTTTCTTTTATTATCTTTTATTTATATCGTCTTATTATGATTCGGTAGCTGATTGGTCTGTATACAAAAAACGTTTCATATCAATGTTGGTTGGATATTAATTTTGACATTTAGTACTGAATTTAATATGTATGAAGAATATGCGAATTATTTAGAACTAATTTTGTTCTGTATATGCAGTGATTTGTGATGCGATGAAATTTCCCATCGAATACATATAATCAAAAGTTTAGACATTAATTTACATACACACTTTTATCCCGTACTTAAATAGTTTAGGGGATGAATTTTTAAAATTCTTTATATAAGGAACTATTGTTCAAAACTTGTAAATCACTGTTAGAACTTTATTTAGCAGAAAGAATATAAGAACAGACTTTATAATTTTACTGCTGCATTTGTTGCTATATTATCTTGCTATCGTTCTAATTTAATATTGATTGTATACTGTATAGACGACATTCCATTTTTACAGATTTCCGCTTTTTATTTTGATTTTTCATTCCCAAGATTTCGAATGCCAAACAGGAAATGGTCATGAATGATGCCCGCAAAAAAACTTTAATACACTATGGACTTCTATTATTAAATAGTATGACAAATACTTCATATACACTACATTACATTTAACTGCCTCAGCGGTGTAGTGGCTAGCATGTACGGCTGCACACCCGGAGGTCCTGGGTTCGAGTCCCGGGTCGGGCCAAGTTTAGTTATTGGGTCTTTCTGTATAGTAAGTCTCAGTAACAGCCTGGAGTTGGGAAGTTGGCGGTGTTTCACCCCCGTGCCTCGGAGAGCACGTAAAGCCGTCGGTCCTGCGCCTTAACTCTCACTGGTCGTGTTGAGTGGTCGTCCCACCGGAGTATGAGAGTGACAGGAATAGAGAGTGCACTTGTGTCTGCGCGTACACTTGAGCACTATAATATCTCCTGCGCAGTTGGCTAGTCTCAATGAGATTGGCCGCCGTAGCCGGAATCGGCTAGGAGAACATCATACACTACAAAACGAGAGGCATATACTGCACCTTTAGGTTTACTTGCACGACAAGACAAACTTGGCTATGTTTCTATTTCATAATATTTCAAAACTCAGTCTTTTTTGACCAATAATTAAATAAAAGGCAAGGAACCAACTTTTTGGATGAATATTGTGGTTATAAGAAAAATGCATGTCTAGGAGTGAATAATTAATGTTTAAGTGATTTGAACTGGGTGTTTTTTTTTTTGTTTTATTATTGAAATGCAATATTTTTATTTCATTCAATTTAATTTTCTTGTGCTTCAAGCCTTGTTAGTTGAACGCAGCTTACCTACTTCGCCTATGTCACTTAGAATGTAGAAGACACGCAGGAGATGTATTGTTTATTGTAAAGGTAGTAAGATATATTTCTAATACCTAGGTACACTAATAATTATGACAGCGCCATTTTTTTATAAATACATTATTAATTTTCCCTGTGCAGGTATTATACTATCGACTCACTGTTCCTTTGCCTCAAGGTTGTCAATATAAATAATGTAAAAACTTTTTGTGTGCAAAATTCAAAACAACGCAAATAACAGCAATTGCCATAGAGATAATTCATTGTGGTTATAAATGTCAAAATTTGAAGTTTATATATATATATAATTTTCAAGTCATTTTCCAATGAAATAATAAAATAAATTAATAGTGATTTTCAGCTCGGAGGGAATATGCAATATTTTATGTTCAGTGAACTGGATTTAGATATACATTTATGCTATATTAATAGATAATAAAGTAAGTTTAATTGAACAATATCTTTTTCAATACAAGTACCTATTTAAAAATTACTAATTTGGCTTGATGAATAACATTACTAATATTATTATTATTTATTGTATTTTAATATATATCACCCATAATGTTTAAATGTGTGTAGGAATACATATTTAAAAAGTATTATTTATTTGTATATGAACTTAAATAAGGTTTTTTTTTTATTTATTAATATTTTGTCTTTTTTAAACAGGTTAAAAACATGGAGCAAATATTCATGATTGAGATTTTTGTAAAGAAAATAGTCTTAAAAATTGAGCCACCAGAAAAAGACGAATATGAACTTCGAATGGAAGAAGAGGAGAGAAAAAGAGAGGCCGAAGCATTGGCTGCTGCTGAAGCGGCAAAGAAAGGTAAAAAAGGTGCAAAGCCCCCAAAACCTAAGAAGGGGAAGAAAGGCAAAGAACCTCCTATGCCGTCTGAGGAAGAAATGAAGTTTATGCAAACCTGCACTATGCAGATAAGTTGTTTACCTGTTTTTGATTTTTATGTGGCCCATGATAACTTTATACCGCCTCCTCCACCACCACCACCGGGTAAGAAAGGTAAAAAAGCACCAAAACCCAAAAAAGGAAAGAAAGGTAAGCTTCCTGTTCAGAAATTAGTACTTCCTTCTGAACCTTTGCCTCAACCGCCCTACTTCGGTGTTGGCAACGCAATAACATTTCTATCAAGGCCCTCAAAATTAGAAGAAGTATTAAGAAAAACACCCATTTATATAACAGTATGGAATAGAGATCAAGAGATGAATTGTATAGGATTTTGTGTAGTTGAATGGCATGAATCGTTTTTTGATTGTCTTCAAAAAGCTGCCGAACTAAACCCAGTAAATATGGACCAAGCCGAATATAGAGATACTACTCGACCAGAAATGGTAACGAATACAGTAGAATTGACCCGACCCTTGCAGTGTGAGGAAGATTTGAAAGCATCAGGTGAAATCGAATTTTTCATCCGACTGACGTGTATGGGCAATAGGGTCATAAGTTATTTTGTAGCGCTACCAGAAATGGAGAGACTGCCTGGCCGTAAATATTTGTCTGATGAATTGAAATTAAAAGATGTAGAGGTGGTCAGACACTGGGAAGAAACAACGATAGACGCTGTGCCACCAGTTGCATATTTCTTTGGTGCTCCAGATATAGTTCGTGAACCAATAAGACCTGTGGAAGAACTGAAAGTGTACGATGACTTTGTTGCGCCTTACACAGCTATTGAGTTAGCAATACTTGCCATGGGATTTCCTAAGGGCCCTTGTGGGGGTACAAACTGTCCTAAAAGAATGGAATATAGGGGCAGTCAACACCAGTTCATATTTGGAGAGATGGTGAAGGGCAAATATCAACATGGTCAATTTGTTAACAAGAGGGATGTACACGGTCCTTGTGGAAGACTGGATTGTCCTTTGGCAAAGAAAGTTCGAGCGTATCTCTGTAATGAAGGCAGCTACAAGCCTTGTAAGAAACCGTGTTATAAAGATTATTATTAAATTTAAAATATGTTAAAGGTAAATAAAAAATGGTAATTAAAATATTATTAGTAATAAATTATGTACAAGTATAACGTAAATAAACATTATGAAGCCAGACAAAACAAAATAAAACTTTCTCTTTCTAAAGTCACCTCACAAAACTAGGTCAACATTTTAATTTGGTATTAATTTAGGCAGTAAATGAATCATAAGTGTGTTATTCTGAATAATTCGCATGAAACGGTAAGTGATATATCACGAGACTTCCATGTGCCATAATTAATTCTTTTGTTGCGTCTCGTCAGTTGATAATAAAAAAGAATACAAAGAAAACAGAAATAATAAAATACAAATATTTTGAGTTTAAATAAAAGTCGATAAATATGAGGAATATAGAAATTCTAAAGTATAGCAAGTATAATTAAATGTATATGCGTATATTATGTATGCCAGTACTTTTTTGTTACTCCTTCACTTTTCCTGTAGTAAAAATATCCTAAATGTGGAACCGAGTAATAACAGATATACAGACAAATAGGTATGCAGACGAACAGACAAAAAAATCAATATCTATTGTTTTGGGGTATATTCTGTACACAATACGTAATAGTCATCGTTTTAAAAAAATATTTCGTGAACAAACGCTTTGTTACTATTTTATTATATGTAGGCATATATTATTAATGGAAAATATACCTAGGGAAGCACTCAAGTGAAGCGAGGTTAAGTCTCTAATACTATATAATTTATAGGAATCTATATATAATTTGCAATAATTGCTAAAAAACATGCACCTGAACTGATTCTTCCTTTTTAAATCGGTCAAGAACTCACATTTGCTCACTCACTTTTATATTCATCGATATTATAACTTAACTGCTTAGAAAAAATACTGTACAGAATAAGCCTTCGATTCAAAGTTTAAAAAACAACCAGAGGAAACAATTCCGAGAAGAGATCATCATTTGCGATATTCGCTTAACACTCTTTTAGTCTACAAGGTATCTCACATGGGCAGTGCTAATTTAAATTGGAAAATATATTCTATTACATAAAGATAAAGTTCATATTCAAATGATGAAATATAGAGGTTTTCACACAACAATTGTAATTATTATTAGTGTGGTTTTGACATTCGTAATTTACACGTTCTGGTCGATGAGCGTGAATAAGTATCGTTATCAGGACATTGAAAAGGATCTTGTTCATTGTTTTGTTAGTATTTCGAGGAAAACCTAAATCGGCCAGCCATTAATGTAATTATGTTATTCATTTTTACTGTCCCACAGCTGGGCGTGGGACTCCTCAATGCAAGGGGGATCGATCAGGTCATAGATCACGCTGTTTAAATGTAGGTTGGCGGACTTCACATATCTTTCGAAAATTAGTTAAGTTCTATCATATATAGGTTTCTTTACGATTTTTTACTTCATAAAAAGCTTTTTATGTTAATAAAATTAAAATTATAATTAATAGAAAAATTACCAGTTCCAACAATAAAAGACTTGTCGAGTTTAACTATTAAATATAATATCAATATATTTTATATAACGTTATCTAATAAGCGCATAGCAATGCTTTATAGTTTATACAACGATTTGGTTAATGTATTCAAATCGATGCAAACAACACAAGTGGTTATCTGTAACACGATATATTGCAAGGTCTTTTTGATAAAACCACATAAGTCCCGGCAAAGCCAATAAAATATTTATCATTTGTTAATATTATTTTAATCTTTATGTTAAATAATAAACGAATATTTATAATAAAATTGCCAATTGTTGTAAGACAGCGGTAGCCCAGTGGTGCAGTGGTGGCCCAGCGTACTCGCTTGGGAAACCGAGTAGAGTGGGTTCAAATCAATGGATTGAATACGTCTGGTTTTTTTAATGCTGCACCCTTGCGAATTATGAATTGATTTTCATTAATGTTAATGAATCACTAATCGTTATGCCAAAAGAGAATTTATATTCAGATAAAATCTGCAAAAAGTTTGGAATAATAAAAATGACGTGTAGTGATTTTGAAGTTATTGTACCTATTTGTTATTATGTTATTTTTTGAAATAAAATTATTATTGAAGTAAATGAAAAATAAATTTTATTAACTTTTACAATAAGCGACGGCAGAATAAGCGCCTACAAATTTTAAGGAGCATTTATTGTGTCTTGTGTAGAAAAGCCTTAAAACCAGTTGAGAACTTAGAAACACTGTAATATATTGTATATTTTGGTAAAAATTAAGTAAAATGTTTTAATTATGCAATTTATACTTAAAAAAAGTATTAGACGCGAATTTTATATTAAATATGTTGGTATATAAAAAACCTGATTGAACATTATTAATTTGAATAAAGTTCGTATGCTATATCTACGCTTCTTATTACATGTAGGTATGTTTTTTATACATTTAATTGTAAATGTATTATATTTGTTTTGTTCAGTTTTAATTTATATATAATATTTGATTAAAAATGCAATATTTTAGTTATAGTTCTTCACTATATTATTTACTAGCGAAACGTTACGTTTTAACGGTTAGTATAGATTTCTCAGAGATGAGATATTTTCCTGCAGTAAAAAGTATCCTATATGTTGACCCGGACAACCAGCTATCACTATACCAAATTTCATCAAAATCTGTCCAGTGGTTTTCTTGTGATGAGTTCTGTACTGAGCATATTGTTCTGTACTTTAAAGCTGATATTTTGTCACTTTCATACATACATATTATTTTTGGGTGAAATGGAGAGATATTTTTTTCAATTAGTTACTAACTTACCAGAGGCTTACTGCAAAATATACATTTCTATAGTTCGTATAATAATATAAGTAATTTTAACGCTAATTATAACTTTGCCGGTCTAACTTTCTTTAACAATAAAACTAAAACATCAATTTTAATGTAATTTTGTATTGAGTAGTAAAATGAGTCACTTTAATGGCTAGCGATTGTTTGATGAATCATTATCTAAAACCTGGGAGTGGTTTTTTAATTTATTGTACCTTTGAATGGAAACCATTCAAAGTTGGCGACAAATCGCATTATTACGTGATAAAAATATCTAATTGTTAGAAATATTATTGTAAGTAATAGTAGATTGTTTTTTAAATAAAATATCAAAATATGCCTTTAAATTTTTATTTCGATTTTTTAAATAATTTAGTTATTTGTGGTAGCATATGGTGAGATGTAGAAGTGTCGTTAGAATATTATGCAGAAAACATGTAGAAATTAAATACATGATATACGTAAGTTTAAATAAATACCTTATTTGAAAAATAATCCGGAAACCATTTAAAACCACATTTTTGATGAAATTTATTATTTATTCTAAAAGTCTTTCAAAAGTTCTAAAAAAACACGAATGCAAAAAACTGAGCAAAGAAACTCATTGGGTTTTTAAAACTTAGAACTTATATTCAACAACAAATATTATATATATTTTTAAAATATACATTTTAAAACTATTACTATATTCAACAACTTAGAACTATATCATACATAATAATGCAATGATTTTGATTATGTACTAAGCCATTTAGAAGGTATTCATAGACAAGTTCTAAAGCTCAGCACTCAGTAAACATATCATGACGTACAAATGGTCCGCTCGCTTTAAATATTTGAACAAGTGTTAGCGACATATGTCCTGACCAAGTTCAATTAGCTCGAATTTAGTGTAGTTTATTTACAATACAGTAAAGGATTTTTCTTGTACTATTTCTATTACGCCACGCTTTGCTCAGTTTGTAGTGATCCTACTTGCTGTGCCAGGGGTCGCGGGTTCAAGTCCCGCTGGGGGCATTCATTTGTGTGATGAGCACGACTATTTGTACTCCAGTAATGGGTGTTTAATTTTATAATATGTATATATTTAAATTTATATAATACGTGTAGTGTATCAACTATCTGGTATCCATAACACAGGTCTCTTAGCTTACCATGGAATTAGATGGTGCTGTGTGTTAATGTACCGACATATTTATTTATTTATTACATGTATACATAATACAATACATATATAAACATGGTGCAACTTTTTAATTAAATAATAGTAATCTTTCATTTCGTTAATAACTGCTACGTATTTGTTTTAAGGTCAAAGTAACTTGTCAAATCTTCACGTTTTAGGGTTTTCGTCGACATGCTCTAAAAACTCTCTAAAACTGGATCACTTCATACAACATTATTCATACTAATATTATAAATGTAAAAGTAGCTCTGTCTGTTTGTTGCCATTTCGCGCTTAATTTCGATGAAATTTTGGCACAGAAATAGATCAGTTGTATCATGGGGATAGACATATTTAAATATAAATAATAAATGATAAATATGTTGGGACATTAACACACACCACCATCTAGTTCCATGGTAAGCTACGAGGCCTGTGTTACGGATACCAGATAGTTGATACACTACATATATATAATTTTAAATACATACATATTATAAATATAAACACCCATGACTGGATTACAAACATTCTTGCTCATCACACAAATGAATGCCCCCAGCGGGATTCGAACCCGCAACCGCTGGCACAGCAAGCAGGGTTACTACAAACTGAGCCAAACGTATCGTCATATTTATTTATTTTATTTTATTAGGCATATGTATAGGGCATTGAACATTCAAAACTATCAAATATTCCAGGATTATAACAGTTTTTCATATTTATTTTGGTAAGAATATTGTAATACAGGAATAAAATTCACTTTATATTTTCCTTTCATATATGTTAATATTAAATTTTACTTGTTTTAATAATAAAAACAAGTATCTCGTTTTACTTAACCATATTGTTTGATAGTGCACGTATCTATAACCGCAAGATGCCGTAAGTAACCGCATTAAGTCTATACGAAACGCAATTGGTTTGTTTATCCGCAATAAAAGACAGTATATTTAGCTTAAAAATGATTATATTTTTACACTATAGCTAACTTCATATCATATTATCATGATACATATAATAAATGTATGATGCTGATATGATTATATCAATAAGA